ATTGTCTTGCAGATCAGTAGCTTGATCTCGATGGAAAATTTAGATTTTATGTTTAGTAGTCGGTATAGTTGGCCGTAATATCGGTTTAGTTCCTGTCTTTTAATTCTAGTATGAGGGTTCCAGTTTAGTCGTCGGTCTAAGAGAAAGCCAAGGTACCGGACTGTATCTGAGAAAAGAAGCTTGATGATGTTAAAATAAACTGGTGGGCAGGATTTACGACAAAGGGTGAACGTTATGTTTTTACATTTGGATTCGTTTATCTTAATTCGCTATTTGTTACACCAGTGTTCAATCAGGGAGAGGTGTATTTGTAGGTTTAACGAAGCTGTTTTAGGATCTGAGTTGGTTGAAAGGATAGCGGTATGATCAGCTAATGTTGTCAGGATGGTATTAGGATGGGCAGGAATATCTGCGGTGAAAAGAATGTAAAGGACGGGACCCAAGACGCTGCCCTGTGGAACTCCAACATCAATTATATGACAGTTGGAGAATTCAGTACCACAACTAACTTGAAAGGAGCGGTCAGAGAGGTTGGAACGGAGTATTAGATATAACGACTGTGGTAGATGGAATTTAAGCTTGAAGAGCAGTATACGTACCATACCCGGTCAAAAGCTGTGTGTCAAAAGCAGATACCACAGGGCAAACACCATCTCCAGCACGAGAAGCCACCTACGGAGAGCTCTCCAGCTAAAAAAGATGTGGGTTGGCATATAGACGGTAAGCTGTTTTTTTTTGTTTGTTTTTTTTTGCACAATCATTAACCTACCAATCCCTTGAGATACAGTCTACTGCTTAAAAACTAGAATGTTACCATACAACTAGAATGTTACCATAAAATTTATAATGTTGCCTTATTGAAACTCATGCGAGTTATTTTGCCATGGTGAAAGTTGCCTAAACAGTGCTGTTCTCCGCACTTCACGCAACGCGGCAAATGATGACAATATGTCTTCATGTGGTCGTTGGTCTGACAATTATGGCACTGTCTTGGGGTATGGTTTCTCAACTTTCGCCATTGTGTAGTATATTCTTGTGATATCGTATATTTTTTCGATACCTGGTGATGGCTTCAAGTCTACGAAAAACAATGGTAGTGGGATTTTATTTGGTAATCCTGGCTGCTCCTTGTCCTTCTTTAAAACGTTGGTTACCTGGCGTACATTGAAACCAAGCGTCGTTAGTTCTTCTTTAATCACTTCAGTTGGGATTGAGTGTAAATTTCTTATCACTGCTCGTAACGCTCTCTTCTGCCTCAGCTGGTAAGTGTGAAAATTCAAATTTGTTTCTGATAAGTACTTCACTATTTTTCGGTAGGCTTCAGCAGAATCAGATGTTATTTTGGTGTCATTGGTCCTGTTGAGGCATGAATAACTGCCAGAGCAGATTTTATTTAGTTGGGTGCAGAAGAACTGGAAATTTTTGATATTTTTCACAAATATCGGAGGAGGTCTTGGTTCTCTGGATATCACTGCAGACTCCATTACTTCTCGGTCATTTTGAAGCACTTGGTAGGGGTTTGGAGTAAAGGAAGGGGATTCTTCGATCATTTCTTGCAAAGACGTACCTGGTTGGGGCTGAGGTTCTGGTTCTGAAGTGTTCACTTTGGTCACTGGAGGTATTTCTCGTAGGCAGCGACGAGTTCTTTGTTTGGCTGATGAACCACGAGGTGTACTAACGCTGTCTGACAGAATCCTCTTGGGGACCTTGCTGGCCATCACTTGCTGATCATACAGCATATCAGAAGAGAAAAAGAAAAAAGGAAAAAAATTTAAAATAACAAAAAAGATGTCAACAGTAAATATCAACTGCTCTGATTAACACTTGAACTGTATTAAGTGAATAATCAGAGAGATTCCGTTAAAAAATAGACAAAAACTCCTCCTCTTTTATTTAAAAACAATTGTTGTGAAGCATTTATTCAGCTGAGCAATTCATTACAATTACAGCTGCTGTGATATTCCTGAAACTAGTAATGAAATGAAATGAAAAAATGTTTTATTATTCTGGGACTGTTGTCCCTTAAGAACAAAATATAACTACAGATTGTATGTCTGTGTGGTTACAATTAAATTGTATATTTACAATGAAATTTATCTTAAGATAAAAATACTGAAAAGAGAAAGAAAAGAACAAGTAAATTGTCCATATTTATATGAGAAACTAAAATAATCTTAATAAATTGAGGTAGTCTCTGGTGGTGCTCAGCTGGGATGGGAATTCCAGAGGGAGGCGGCTTGCATTGCAAAGGATTTGTCAAACGCAGCAGTTCGGTGAGGAGGAGGATAGAGGTCGGAAGTATGAGATCTGGTAGGACGGGATTGGATGGAGTAGTTGAATTGTAAGCTGTGAAAAATATTAGAGGGTCGGTGGGTTCTAATGATTTGGTACAGAAAGGTGGCTAGGAAGTACTGACGGCGATAGGATGGGTAGAGCCACCTCAACTCAGTGTAATACTGGGTAATATGCGTATCCTTTGAAATTCCGAAAACAAATCGTAGTGCGCAATTCATTAGGCGTTTAAGTTTGGCCTCGGAATATCCCAAGAGTCCACCGTACACCATACAGCCATAGTCGAAGTGGGGGAAAACAAGGGAGGAAACTAGGAGTTGACTGGACTTATATGGAAGGAGATATCGTAGACGATTGAACTGTTGTAGGGTGGAGATGCGACGGGAAATTTGGGAGATATGAGGTTTCCAGGATAGGGATTGATCAAAAGTAACACCTAGGTTTTTAACGGTGGTGTGGAATAAGATAGGTGAGTTGTTCAGGAGGAGATTGGGAGATACCGGGGAGGATTTGAGGAGTGAAGGGGATCCGATCAAGATGGCTTTTGTCTTCTCGGCGTTCAGAGTGAGCCTATTGAGGTTTGCCCAAGCACTTATTCTGTCAATGTCTTCCTGAAGTTTTAGAGTGGCATCTGAGATATCTGTCGGATTAAAGGAGAGGTAAATTTGAATGTCGTCGGCATACAAGTGGTGATGACAGTGCAGGATAGAGGATGGGAGGTCATTTATATAGATGGAGAAAAGGGTGGAGGATAAGGAAGAGCCTTGTGGGACGCCTCTGGTCAGAGGTAGAGATTCAGATGGTGGGTTATTAGGAATTACAACGTACTGGGAGCGACCGGTAAGGAAGGATTGGAACCAATTAAGGGAACTAGAAGAAAAAGAGATATTTTTAAGTTTGGTTAGGAGGATGTTGTGGTCTACTGAATCAAAAGCTTTGGAGAAGTCTAGGAGAGTAAGGATGGTTAGTTTCTGCTGATCTATGGCTGTTTGAAGGTCTTGGGAAATTTTGATTAGGGCAGACTGAGTAGAATAACCAGGCCTGAAACCGGACTGGTAGGGATTTAGGAGATTATTGTCCTCTAAAAAATGGGATAGCTGGGATTGGACTAACCGCTCTAATGGTTTTGAGAGGTTTGAAAGGAGAGGAATCGGTCGGAAATCATTAGGAGCTGATGGGTTTGAAGTCTTCTTGTGTCAGAGTAAATACTTAGTGTGTAATAGTCTCTATAGCTTAACGAATTCTTTAGTTTTAATCTTCTTTTGATTTTAACAATCCTATCGAACATAAGGAGAAATACGGATCAGCAGTTATTTGTTGCTAAAAATACCTCGTAACTCCTTTCTTTTATTAAGACTATGAAACTTCAGTCTCTGAAATCCAGGATTGCCCATCCCCCCCCAAGGTCAATGGCGCAGGAATCTATCCCCTCCCTTCTCAAGATATTTTATTGCTCACCTTTTCTTAAAACAGAGCAAACCAAGTTAGAATGAAAAAAAAACGGAGAGCATATACAATTACACTTACTGCAGTTTGTTCCATGTTTGCTCCTTGTCCAATAAAATGAAACTTTTCATTCTGAAATTCATAACCTCGCCGAAATTTTCTCCTCTCAAAAATTCAAAACCCTGCTAAAATATGCCCCCTCAAACATTTTGATGCCGCAAGGGCACCCCTGATAATCTATTTACAAAGGAAAATTTGAATGAACCTAAATGGTTTTAACCATGCAATATGTAGTGAAAACTATTGGAACAAAATCTGTATCAAATCGTACATATTTTCAAACACTTATTTGTTTTGTTTCTTTTATAATTCACTGTAATGGAGTTTTACCAGATTTAAATTGAAACATCGTTATAAAATTCATAGCTGAATGCAATCCCAATTCCATTCAATTAGCTTAAATTGCATTCAAATAGTTTAAATAAGTTTCATAAGTGATAATACTGAGTTCATTCTTAACTGTTTCGCCATTAACTATATTTATTTTGTTTCTTTCTTTTGAGATATCAGTTAATTCTCCTCTATTTTAGTATTCTCCTCCTTTTCTCGTTATTTTCTTTTTCCTACCTCTATTTTGTATATATTGAAACATTTAATCATTACATCTTATTTTCATAATTTACATAACTTTTACTTTTTAATTCTCTTCTATCTGGTCGGTTAGTTTTAATAGGTTTTGCAGTATCTTAATTTTTCCTATTTACAACTATTATTTTCTGTATGTAACTTCGTATTCCTTTTCTCTGTTTTACATTTTATTCTATGTCAATCTCACTTTCTCTTAGCATACTAAGACATCATATTTTAGCAAATACATCTCCCCATTTATGCTATTTTAACACTTACGTTTTTTACTTCTTAATATTCCGTTACATTTCTTTGTTAATTCATTTTTCATTTCATTACGTTTATTTCATTTATTACGTTTATTTCATTAGTTTCTAACATTGTTGCCGTTACTATTTATTTCATAAGATCCAAACTTTGTTATCGTTATTTTATATTTCCTTAATTTATATTTATTTATTTTTACTTTGTGTTTTGATGCAATACCCCAACCAACTTCTCTTCTATTATTTTCTATATTCAACCATCACTCAACTATTAATAATTAATTCTAACCTTAAAAGTGAAATCCTTTCATTGACCTTTCCTTTTCAATCACATTCTTCATTTTACAGTTGTTATTTGTATTTTTACAGGAAGCCGGGAAAGATTTCGTAACCGGAATAAAAATGAAGGTCGAAAGAAGAAACTGAAAACAATGACTGCTACTAGACCTGAAAACGAAGAAGAACCTGAACGGTTTTTCTTTCGTAAGTTTTAATTTGTGTTAAAGTAAATGCACTATCGTAAGATCTCGCCTTATTTTTTATAATATTATATTATATTTCGGTTGATTTCTTAGAAAAATAATTATAATATAATCTTAAAAAATTGTAAATCAAATAAATATAACCTGCATAGATCATTATTTATCTTTATTTAATTATCAATACAGGACTTTCGTGTTCGCTAAAAATAAAGCAAAACTTTTAGTATTACAGATTCATATACAATATGTAGTTGGCCTAGGTTAACATCCGTGATTTATAGTTTTATTATGGTTTCCATTTTAATTGGTATATTAAACAATATTTAGTTAATCTTTTTTTTTTAGCGAAAATTCTTTATTGAGATATATTACAATCTGTCACATTTAAGAACAATAGTAATAGTGATAGAAAAGTAGCTCATTCACACTAGGTACAATAAATTAAAATAAATAAGCAGCAAAATAATAGAGCTAAAAGTAAATGTGTATAAACTAAAAGAAACTAAACAAATCAAAATAACTACTTAAATACATGTTTTTGTACAATATCTACAAAATTCATTCACTCAAGATCACCGAGCTGAACCTTTCTTCCTACTGGTTTAAGAAAAGGCAGGACTATAGGAGATCCCTGCGCCTCCCACTCAGCCTCATTACTGGTATTAAGCACCAGTGGAGGCTGAGCAGAGGCACTATAACCAGACATACATGGTTCGAGTAAAGAATCTGGCCTTCGCCAGAACTCCAATATATGCTAACAACAGGTCTCTAGGCCACTGCATCTTCAAACTTCGAGGAGGATTGAAAGGAAGTTAGAAATAGATAGGGATTGTGCAAGTGGATTGGATGATATGTAAGGTTTTGATGGAATTTGGAATTTTTTTCAGGGATAAGGTCTAGGACAAATGGGATATTAAGATCATGGGTTGCATAGAACGGAGCATCAACTATTGTTCGAAGGACTTTGGAATGAAAGGATTGAATGCGTTTCATATTACAAAATTTTGCTGTCCCCCACAGTTTCAGCCCGTAGGTCCAAATATGTTTTAGTATTGTGTTATATATCAGTAATTTGTTGTCAATTGGAAGTTCAGAATTTCAATTCAGTAGTCTACGAGTATATAGCTATCGCCTATCGTCTATGGAGTAACTAGCCATATCGTCGGTTGAGTTCTTATCTTTTAAGTCTAGTATATGGGTTCCATGTTAGTCTTCGGGCTAAGATAAAGCCAAGATACCGGACTGCTTCTAAGTAAGGTAGCTGGATGGAATATTTTGTTTTTTTTAACCTTTTTTATTGAGAAATATTACAATCTGTCTCAGTGAAGGACACTTATATAGTAAAGTTCAGAGAGTATATTCATACCGTGTACACAGAAACATAAATAAATAAATTATTAACAAAAGAATAAGAAGATAAGAATATATGCATATATATATATATATATATATATATATATATATATATATATATATATATATATATATATATATATATATATAAGATAAAGACCGGAGACTGGCGATATCAGCCTTAATACCATCTTTTAATGTAAATAAACATAGCAATTGTATATAAGGCAGATTATTGAACGAATAAAGCAGTGTTAATTCAGAAGCCGTGAGTATTGTTTCTCGTTCCTCTTTCCTTCTTTTTTTTTGTTTACAAAGCCCGGAGACGCTTAACTGGTGCCGAAACCCGGGAGAACGTCAGGAGAACACGGAAGTAAAATTTTTTTTTTCCTTTCTTTATTTTAATTTTTTTTTCTCTTCTCCTAGTCATAAGGAAAAGACGAGATGCCGACAGAGGGCATAATTCGACCAGGAGTGTTGAACGCACCTGAAATGCCGCAACCTCAGGAAATGCCGATAGCGCAGATTCCTCAGATCGCCCCTCAGGTTCCGCAGATTCCGCAGATACCTCAGATACCTCAAGTACCGCAGATACAAGAGATCCCTCCCTTACCTAGGGACACATTGGCAGAGGCGCACGCCAATGCATTGGAGTGGATGAAGATAAGGGCAGCGACCACGCAGGATCTACGGAGAGCAATCGCAGACCTGGAGCGATTCGGGGGCGAGATAGGTGAACTTAATCACTTCCTGAAAGGTGGAGACCGCCTCATATCAAGAATCGAAGCAAAGGTGGCGGAGGACCTCGTGAACCTGGGAGACGCAGAAGCACTGAAGGCAGCTCTCGTGTGCCGAGTGAGGAGGAACATCCTCAACCAAATCCAAGCGGACGAGGAGACACCATGGCCAGTGATTAAGGAGCGTTTGAAGAAGGCTTTCGGAGGGGGCCGATGGACGCCGGAAGAAGATATCTTCCAAATGTTTAGGGAGTGTCGGTCCCAACGCCAATCAAGAGGACAGTATGCGGGGGTACTAGTGGCGAAGTACAACCGCATAACTGAGAAAATGCGTGAAACCATGAGTGTGGGAGAGGTCGAAGCTAGGATGGAATTCCTTTCGACAATACTCAAGGTTCAGTTGGCTAAGGAGACTGGGAGAAGGGACGGACTGCCTAGAGAGCGATCGTTCCTCGAGTGTGCCCAAGAAATGATAGATCTGAGTGCAAGAGAGGAAGAGACGCGGATGGAAGTAGAAGAACCAGGGTGGACCCGGGTGAGTGACAGACGACCCCGGACAGCCCAGATCGGGTGGAGGAAGAGGGAAATGAAACACCCGAACGGAGAAAAAGCCACGACGGGCGAGAGAAGATCCGGACAGTCCAGGCCTAGGAATGGACCCCGGAGGGAAGACAGAAAATGTCACGGGTGCGGGAAACCGGGACATTTGGTAGCACAATGTCCGCGCACTAGATGTTTCGAGTGCGGGACGGAAGGGCATATTGCCAGACAGTGCCCGTACATGTTTCGCAGGAGAGAGAGACCTCTAGACGAGCCAATGGAGGTGAACGCTCAAAAGTTGAAAAAACGAGCTAGGATGCAGCAGAGAGACGGATCTTCGGAAGAGGCAACCGAGGAGTCGGGGACGTCGGGAACGGAGACTGACGAGCCAGCCAGCAGTGGAGGCGAAGGAGGCAGGAGCAGCCAACGGAGCGAGCAACGACGAGCGACGGCGGTAAGGAGGAAGCGAGGTGGCATCTGAGAAGGGTGTCAGCAGAGAGGCGACCGCACAGCAACCTGCAACAATATTAGAGGTAAGCCATGCTGGTTGCCGATTATTGAGGTAGACGGGGGAGTGAAGTGTCTCGTGGACACAGGGAGCTCGAGTACTATCTTGACTCGGGGGGCGTTGGGGAGAGTGTGCGGGAGCGAGAGGGTACTCCGGATACAAAACTGTGGCTGCTTGAAGCTTGAAGTATCAGGCTGGGAAAGAGGAAATTTGGATGTATAGGGGTCGCGAGAGAAAGAAGGGTGCGGATAGGAGCGGTGAACAGGGTGGAGGACTGGAGAAAGGCGTTACAAGCGGAGTTCGTAGATATTTTCTTCAGGGAGGGCGAGGTATTGGGGGTAACAGGGAAGACGGTACACGAAGTTCCACTGAAGCAAGATCGGGTGACCTACGTAAAGGAAAGGAGATACCCGCAGGCGCTGAGGCAGCATATTCGGGAGGAATTGGAAAGCCTAAAGGAGCAAGGGATCATAGTCGATAGCACCTCGCCATTTAATAGTCCCCTGTGGGCAGTGAAAAAGAAGGCAGCGCCGGGGGATAATAAGGAAAAATACAGAGTGGTAGTGGACTATCGTAGGTTGAACGACAACACGGTAGACGAAAAGTACCCGATCCCTAGATTCGAGGATATACTTGATAGGTTGAGTGGGGCCGTGGTGTTTAGCACGTTGGACCTCAAGGCGGGATACCACCAAATACGGATGCACCCGAAGGACCAACATAAGACGGCGTTTACATTCGAAAGGGGGCATTACGAATTCACCAGAATGCCGTTTGGTCTGAAGAATGCGCCCATAACGTTTCAACGCCTGATGGACGAATTTCTGAGGGGGATCGACGACTCCGTATGTCAAGTATACATGGACGACCTGCTGATTTTTAGCAGAACGGAAGCCGAACACGTGGGGCATTTGAGGTCGGTATTCGAAAGGCTGCGACAATTCGGGCTGAAACTGTCCAGTGAGAAGTCCCTGTTGGGACAAACGCGGATCAATTTTTTAGGCCACACTATTTCTAGCGAGGGGGTCAGACCGGATGCGGCAAAGGTGGAGGCTATCACACGAATGGCGGTGCCACGGGACGTTAAAGGGATTCGTAGGCTTCTCGGGACGCTGAATTATTATAGAAGATTCGTACCTGAGATGGCAGAATACTTGGTACCTATCAATAACTTGCTGAAGAAAGGCGCGAGGATCGTGGTGACACCGGAAATGGAAAATAATATTCGGAAATGCATGGATAGGTTGCAGGCAGAACCCGTATTGGCGTTCCCGGATTTTGAGAAGCAGTTCAACGTCACCACCGATGCGAGCGAATACGCGTTGGGGGCCGTTTTATCCCAGGGCAGAAGTGAGGGTGAACGTCCGATAGCATACGCGAGCCGACGACTTACGAGCGCGGAATCACGGTACAGCGCGTTAGAGAGGGAGCTACTCGCGATAGTGTGGGCCATCGACCATTTCAGGCCATATATATTTGGGAGGAAGTTTCGAGTCCACACCGATCACAAACCCCTTCAGTGGGTAGGAAAACTTAAGGAAACCTCTGCGAGGGTCACGAGATGGAAAGAATTCCTTAGTCAGTACAACATGGAGGTGGTGTATAAGCCGGGAAAGGAAAACGTGGTGGCAGACTGGCTCTCTAGGGCCATCATGATCAACGCGGTAGAAGAGGACGGGGGAGGTCCATCGCGGGACGTGCGCCAATTCTTGAGGGAATGGACTCCTGAGGGTGAAGGGGCAGATGATACCGTCAGTATAGAGGACAGGGAGGGGTCCCCGGAAGAAGATAGCTCAGCGGAGGAAAGACCAGTGGCGATGGAGGAAATAGACGAAATCATCAACGACAAGCATAGACAGGTAA